ACATATAAATATATATTAATAAAAATGTATATATAAACATAAGTGTATGTGTGTGTGTGTATATATATATATATATATATATATATATATATATATATATATATATATATATATATATATATATATATATATATATATATATATATATATATATATATATATATATATATATATATATATATATATATATATATATATATATATTATATATATATATATATATATATATATATATATATATATATATATATATATATATATATATATATATATATATATATATATATATATATATATATATATATATATATATATATATATATATATATATATATATATATATATATATATATATATATATATATATATATATTTGTTTACAGGTACGGTGGCCAAAGCAATTGATCACATTCTTGTTACAAACAGCTTTACAAAGTATTGAAAATAAAAGGATGTAACTTTGGCATTTTATTTTGGAGGTATTTGCATTATTCATTACGTATTTCTATGTTATAACAGGGGTTATTTTTTATGTATCTCAATTAGTGTTGTCAAACTGTGTCTGTAGGCCAAATGGGCACCTTAGGATGGTCATAAATTTTCCGCAAGCTAAAGAGAAAAATTATCAACCTGTGAAATTATATTTGTCATGATGAAAAGTAATATATGATGAAGAAGCTGGAGACATAAATAATATCTGTATCATATTGATAATAGCATCAGTTAACGTAAATAAAATAAAATTTACAAGAAGATACATATTATCAGATAGTTTTTAGAAACGATATCATAAGAAACCTTCATTGACTCATAATATGGTTGATGAAATTAGAATTGGCCATTGAAAGGGTTTGAGTTTGACAAAATGCTTCTATCATAATTCATGAACAAAGTAAATTTTAAATACTTACTTCCTTCTTCATCTTCTCATACTTCTTATGGAAGTCACACAGAACAACACCACACTCTTCTTTAAAATGTTCTGGAGGCTCCCATGTGTCATCAATTGGTTTATAATACTTCCACCGCACCCGATATTCTACTTTTTCTCGTCCATTATCCTATAAAAAGAATTTCAATTAAAAATTTATTCTATATCTTTATTTCAATACATTATTACACATAAAAGCTCTAAATGATTAGTTCAGCTCTAGATTTTATATTTAGAAGATACTGATACCAACACTAGTTTTGTGCTGTTTAAGAGGACCGTCCCGGAAAATGGCCACCTTTCCCTACTCTTTACATCATAAAAAAATATCGGTTAGAGATAACTGATTGATTCTTTTTGCATGATATAGAGTATAGAATTGCGCTCCATTATATATATAAATTTTAACCTTGCTCCCCCATGGGGGGGGGGATCCCCCAAAAAGTCAGTACATCCCAACTATCAGTTCTTTACTGAATATTCCCCCAAAAATACTTGTGTTAGATCAACTCTAGCCTATGGCCATGTAAAAGGCTGAATTTTGAATTTCCTTTTTTTTTTTTTTTGGCGGGGGACAGCTTGACATAGAGAACTTTTTTTTTTCAGCATTAAAATATTATTTTTTGATTAAGGCAAAATCATTCTAATTATAAAGTCCTGGCATGAATACAACATGGTGGTTCAATTTTGAGAATCTTAAAAGCATATGAATTTAGTACATTCAATTCGAGAACTTACGAAAGTCGTTGAATTTTTCCCATGGGGGGGCGGGGGTAGCTTTTTTAATGCCAGACCAAGACTAAGCATACAACCGAGCTCAAAATTCCATATAGTTCCATACATCCGAAGTTAAAAAATCTGACATTTAGATAACATTCGTATTGAATTGGTCTTTACAACGGTAACTACCAATTTCAAATCAATTCAAATTTCCCCCTGCTGTGATGTACCGACCGTTGAGCGAAATGTAATGGAAATATTTCAATCCTTCCTAGTAAGGCTATTCTTAAACATTAGTGCTTCATATCTGATATACGTACATATTACCTCGTAAACTAAGACATATTTCCAGGGAGTCTCGATCGAAGCATATTTCATGTGTAAAAGGACACAAAACTTTTTTTTTTTTTTAGATATTTTTCACAAAATATTTCGTCATAAATCACAGTGATATAATTTTTTCCTGATACTGGTGCAAAAGCGTTCCTTGAACATTCACAAACTCATATCTATGCGCAATGTCATAATTAAATGCCATATGCACGATTGCCGCAAGCAAAAGTCCACATAGGTGTACCTGGGCACTCATTAGCGACGTACCTCTCCGGGTGCTGAGGGACTCGCGTGTTGACTGCAAGACAATGAGCCATAGCAGGCGCTTAATACTCGTTTGGTAGCTTCCTCATCCATGTACCTATACTATAAGCTAGTTAACTCAATTTAACCCCCTTCCCCCCCCTCCATTTGGGACGGTCCCCTTAACACAGTTTCTGTGGCTGTTGGCGCTACAGCAAGGCCAATAAACCTTAACCACATATATTCTGGCAAGATAATAAGGAACTAGTCCAG